TTTTGGGATGTTGTTTAATATCTATAAGTCATTTGGTAATGTTTATTAATATATTTCAAGGCTACCTTATAGGTATTTTCAAAACTATAATTGTAATATCTTTCTAGTGCTGTTATCATTAAGTACTTTTATATCTCTAGTAGTGCTTTTTGTCATAAGATCTACTTTGGTAATATGGATGCTTTCTTTTGGTATACATCTGCTTGTATAATTTTTGCATCATTTTACTGTCATCTTACTATAATCTTATATTTTAATATACTTTACATTAGCATATGGAGGTTTTTTAACGCAATCTGACAATCTTTGTCGTTTAACTGAAACATTTAGTCTATTTATATTTAATGTAATACTTGATATGTCCTGCCTGTTCTGTGGTTTGTTTTTCCCTTTTTTTTAATTCTTACTTGTTTTTTGAAATTGATTAGTGAGTTTTCATTGTTCTGTTACTAATTTACACTTTTTACTATTGTAATTTATACTATTTATTACTTATTACATCTCAACTTATCAAGTCTTAATATAAATGTAAATTAGTACCTTTCCCTCTTCCTGGACAATGCAAGGGACAGCTTCACCTCCAGTCGCCTGATCCCAGCACAAGTGCTGTGTCCATCACATTAATTCTTTGTATATGTTAAGTCTTCAGAAGACAATGATGTTGATTTTCATTTAGGTCAGGCTCTCTCAACCTTAGCACTATTAATGTTTGCGTTAAGTAATTCTTTTTTTGTGGAGGGCTGGTCTTTGTATATTTAGTAGGATCCCTGGCCTCTACTCCTTAGACGGAACCAGCACCTTCCCCTTGATAATGACAAGCAAAAATGCCTTCGCACATTACCAGATGGGGGATGAAGGGGGTCATCCTGCCCCAGCTGAGAACCAGTGCTTTCAAATCACCTAATCATTTATCCTTTCATGTTTGCTCATTCTGTCGCAGTGTCAGTCTCCTGTCAGGGTTATGTTCTTTCTGATTGAAGAACACTTTTTAGTAATTGCTTTAATGCAGGACTACTGGTGGCCAGTTCTTTTTTCGTATGTATCTGAAAAGATTTATGTATTGTGTCTTTCTGAAAGAATGTATTTGCTAGACATGGAATTGTAGGTTTTTTGTTTGAAACAAAAAACAAGTTTTTTTCATTTCATCATTTCATCATTTCATCATTTTGAAGATTTCATTCCAATATCTTCTTGTTTCCTTAGTTTTGATTGAATAGTCATCTGCCAACCTGATTATTTCTCCTTTAAAAGTAACTTTTTTTTCTGGCTGCTTTGGAGATATTTTCTTTGGCTTTGGTTTCCAGATGTTTTGCTCTATTATACAGAGGTAGGATTTTCTTGTTTTTATCCTCTTGGGGACTTAAGCATTTCTTCAGTCTATGGCCTCATGTTCATTAAATTTGGAGATTTGTCAGCTCTTATATTTCCACCTAAGCAGAGTTGCGCAGTGGAAGCGTGCTGGGCCCATATTTCCACCTAATACTTTCCCACTTCTGTCCTGTTTCTGTCCAAAGCCACACCTGCAGGGGTGATGGCCTTTTTACTGTGTCTGCACTCTCTCGTCATCTTCACTCCTTTCACTCCATGAATTATGCTGGTCATTTTTTCAACCTCTATCCCAGTTCATTATCTCTTCAACAACAAATCTGTCCATTGACTCTCTTGATTCTGTTATTGTGGGTTTTAGTTTTTGAGTTTTCAGTGAGTTCCTCTCATTGTTTCTAATTCTCCACTGAAAGTTTCAGTCTTATACTTTTTGAACACTTAATCACATTTTTCTTAAACTCTATATCTGAAGACTGCCATTTTCTGGACCCTATTTCTATTTTCTATTATTTCCCTGGGGTGGTAGCCATGTTGTTCTGTTTCTTCAAATGCTTCATGACTTTTGATTGAGCACCAGATGTTATATAATGAAAATTAGGAAAACACTTTGAAGCCTTGGGTGATATATTCTTTATCCCAGAAGGATTTACATCTGCTTCGGTCATGAGGTTAAGCACTACCAGTTATAGACAGTGATCTGAAGCTGAGCCTCACTGTCCCTAATTACTAATTACACTGAACCCCAAACCAGAGCCTGAGGACTTTGCCACATCACCTTCCCTTCACGCTGCTGCTGGCATGGCCCTGTTCCTAGATGGTTTTTTGTTCTGTTTTGTTTCATTTTGTTTGTTTTTAAAGACTTCATTTATTTATTTGACAGAGAGAGAGCCTGCAGGGGAGGGGGGTGGAGAAGAGTAGAAGGAGAGAGAGAATCTTAAACAGACTCCCAGCTGAGCGCAGAGCCTGACGTGAGGCTCCATCCAACAGCCCTGAGATCAGGACCTGAGCTGAAATCAAGAGTTGGATGCTCAACCCACTGAGCCATCCAGGCATCCCAGTTCCTAGAGTTTTATTTCTCTCTTGCCTCCTGAGGCTGTTTTAAAGCTACAAAGAAATTCTCCACTGCCTCTTCTGGACACTCCTTCCAGATGCCTTCAGAAAAAAGCTGTTCAAACCTATTTGGTTTCAATTCTATCCCAAATATTAGTCTTGCTCTTTTCCTCTAATCTATTCTCAGCATCTGCTGCTCTGGAGTGCTTTGTTTGCATTATCAGAACCAGGAGTTCCCTTGGATTACTTTTATTTCCTGCTGAAATATATCCTCTCTCTCCAAAGGAATGTTTTGGGTTTTAAAATTTTTGAAATCTTACATCAGAAAATATAACTGTTGGAAATAGAATAATGATTTCAAAATTGTTTAGAATTTTGTTTAGTTGGAAATAGAATAATGATCTCAAAATTGTTTTCCTCCAAAACCTTAGCTGTTGTCTGTTTGCTGGTGTTACTGATGAGAAGTCTTAAATGTGATTCTCATCTCTTTGTAAGAAGTCTTTTCCCTCTTTGTGTGGAAGTTATTTTCGTATTTTCAACTCCTCTCTAATAGTCAGAAGTTTTACTATAAAGCACAGGCTTGTTTTCATTTTGTTTTGTTTTCATTTTTTTAAGTTTATCCTTGGGATCTTTTGACCTAACGAGGACTTGATTTTCCACATGAGCACTCCTTCACTTAGTGTCTTTTTCAGTCGCTTCCTGTTCTCGGAGGTGCTGGTCCCAGGGTCTAGATGGCCAGGAACCCCTCCCCTCCTTATCTCCTAGTGCAGCTGCGCATTCACTTTGTTTGTGAGAGATCTTCCGTTCCTTCTAGGGTGTGGTGAGAGGAGAGGGTGGGCCTTCAGCTTGGTGTGTTCTCTTGAATGTCACTAGATCTTTTTTTTTTTAAAAAAAGATTTATTTATTTATTTGACAGGCAGAGATCACAAGTAGGCAGAGAGGCAGGGGGGGGGGACGAGGAGGGGGGGAGAGCAGGCTCCCCGCTGAGCAGAGAGCCGGATGTGGGGCTCGATCCCAGGACCCTGGGATCATGACCTGAGCTGAAGGCAGAGGCTTTAACCCACTGAGCCACCCAGGTGTCCCTCACTAGATCTTTTTAACTTTGTCGGCCTGCGTCCCCCTCCCTGGGCAGTTACACTTGGACCAAGCTCTGACGCATCACCTGCTCACTTCAGCTCCATGGACCGCAGCCTCTGAGGCATTGTCCGTGCCTGCGAACCCCCTAGTGCAAGCTTTTGTTCAGTATATATGCCCATTAATTACTGTCTCTTCAAAACCCCTGCTGGAGTTCATTGAAATGAAACTACAAATTTACGTCATCTACTTCAGTTTTAGTAGAACTAACAGGCAAAGGGTGTGAGAGGAGCAAATCCCTCAGCCGACAGGCAGTTGACATTATAAAAGTCGATTCAGAGAGCCAGCAGATGGGTTGGCAAGGAGCCCCAATGGCAGCAGGGGAAGCAGTGTGAGAAGCTGGGCTGCCAGCCGGAGCGGAGCAGCATGTGCCAACTGGCGGGGACGTGGGCTCTGCTGGAGAGCGTCGCAGCTGCACTTGGCGTGCAGCGAGTTCACGGAAATTGTCTTGCGCTGACGGCCATCTTTGCAGACTCCCCATCCTGAAATGGGTGAGAGTTATGAGGAGCCCAGCCCTGGATGGGGGCCTGGCCCTGGATGAGGTCTCAGACGGCCTTGGTCCCAGGGCCTTGTCTGGGCTCGCCCTCCCCCAGTGACACCCTGGAGGTATCTCCCTTAGGCTTTCCCTACACCCCCACCCCCCCACCCCCCCGCCAAAATTGGCTCACCTTTACTTATGCAGAAACCTAAATATACATGTCAAAAATAAAATTACAGAGCTATCTTAATTTTAACAAAGTCAGAATCTAAATGTTTAAATAATTTTTAACGAAATGGCCTCTCAATACTAACTTTCTAATTTGATGCCAGGCCTTTGTTATTTTCAGTGATACATAGAACTTTGCATTACACTTAATATTTACTTTAATAAGCAACTCTGCAATTGAGTAAATGTGTTTCTAGAGGTAAAATTTATGGTACTCTAATCCCAGTAGATATTATTTTGATCAAGTAAATTTTTCTTTCTAGCACTTCCTGTTTTATCCCAACATGAAATACCATCTGTAAGTCTTGGTTAACTTACTGTTTTTCTCCATTTAAAGTTTTTCATCAACTGTCTTAAAAGTAAGTTTTTAAAACATTAAATTGAGAATTTTAAACTTCTGCACAAAGCCATGAAACGTCTATTGTCCCTTTTAACTTAACAGGCTTAAAAATGAAAAACAATTTTAATTAATACTTCATGTTCTTTTAGGTCTTAAAAATAGAGAATGTAATTTTCAAACCAACTTATACTTCTATTGAGCCTGTAATTCTATTTAAACATATAAGAATATATTTAATCCTAATTCCGTAAAAGTTTAAAATACTTGGGAAGTATTCATCCTGAAAAAAACAAGTAAACAGCATAATGCACACTTTAAACTTTTAAAATCTATTAGTAAGAGGTAATTTCCTCAAGTGTTAAACACATTTGCAACATAAAACACCCAAATATTAAAACCATTCCACATGCTTTAGTAGAAACTTAAAATTTAAAACTTTTTTACCTGAAATTCTAAACTAAGTAGGTTTTGCTTGGTGTCATTTAAGTCTCCAGCTGAAAATGAAACAAAACCAGAGCTTTCTTTAAAACAAAGAGGATTGTTGAGAAATGTTAACTGACTTCTTAGTAAAATCTGAAATAACTGCTTCCCTTGGGGATAAATGCCTTTCAGATCTTGTGCAGAACAGCCAAGAGAGTAACCAGGGAAGATGGTTACCAAGGGAAATATTTTTTCTAAATCACAGGAGAAGCAGAAAGCAAAGGCAGGCGAAGGCATTAGGAAGGCGGGAGCTGGAAGCTCAGAAGAAGAGGCTGATTAAGAAATGTGTCGTTTCCATAGACTGTTTGCATTAAAAAAGATCTTAAAGTTCACACCACTCAACATGGTCCCCCTTGAGCTCTACCAGATTACAGAGATGCCCTTGTTGCCATGTTGAGGACTGTGCATTCCTGGGATGCCTTTAGTGGGGTTAACTGGCTTGTTTCTCCCCCTGCTCCCCGCAGTCTGCAGGCAGTGTTAACAAAGCAAAGAGCTGTTACATATTAATGTCACTGAAATTATGTAACTTCTAACCTTGAAGCAATAACAAGAAAATGTGTGTAGGAACTTAGAGCATCCTGATGATGATTACTCTGGCGAATTTTTTGTCTACTTTGGCCTCAGTTTTTTGTTATTTTTTTGTTTTGTTTTGTTTTGTTTTAATCTACAAATGAGCAGGTCAGAGAGCAGAGTTCCACCGCTGCTTACGGGGACCTTGCATGAGTTACTGTTGTTTCTGATTAAAGTTTATTCTTCTGTACAACTGGGATGACAATACTTATCTTTCAAATTTTTGTGTAAATAAAATGAATAATGTATGTAAAATGCCTGTCATGGAGTAGGTAATTATATAATGACTATTTTAAAAATTCTTATTATTCAACTTCAGGTTTCCAAATTTTCTGACAGGAGACACATTTTTGTTGTTCCAGAATCTTAAAATGACCTGCGTAGACCAAATCAAGATGATCGACTAAGCACATGGACCACCCAAATTCCTAAAATGACAGAAACTATATTTGTGGGGGGTTATTTTTTTATTTTTTTTTTTGGTAACACTTTACTAAAAAATAATTAGTACTATTAGAAGAAAGAAATTTTGAGAAATTCTTTAATGATTAAAGGCATGTAGACTCTGACAGACAACACCACAGTCCAAAGACATGTGGGAGAGGTTAGCTTGTGGGTGTTCCAGGTTTAGAAATTATAAATGCTGGTAACAGTGAGGTTTGTTAGAGACTGCACTTAGGAGTAGCAGGTCAGGGGGTTGCCTGGGTGGCTCAGTTGGTTAAGCATCTGCCTTCCTCTCGGGTCATGATCGTAGGGTCCTGGGATTGAGTCCCACGTAGGACTCCATACTCGGAGTGTGTGCTTTTTTCTCTCTCTCTTCCCCTCACCCACTCGTTCTCTCTCTCTCAAATAAATAAAATCTTAAGAAAAAAGAAAAAGAGTAGCAGGTCAGATGACCCCAGCCTTCCTGGGGTCTCCAGCATTTGTTCTAAGTATTAGGCATCTGCCCCCGAATTGAACTTGCATTCTCATCCAGTTGGCCTGGGTGGCTGGTGGAACAAGGAACTTCCCCACATGTTCAGAATCCAAACTCACTACTAATGCAACCAGGTATAAGAATAAGGTTGACCATCCCCACCACATATTCAAAGCCTTTGGTCAGTACTTTAATCCTATACTCTATAGTACTAAGCAGATAGCTCAGGATTACCAAACATTTGGGACAACTCTGACATTAGAGATAGGACTCTTACCTCCCCCTCCAAAAATACTTAGACCATAAGGAAAGAAAAGGGCTTTGGAGATTAAACAACAATGTGTTACCACTACACACTTAGTAGAATGGCAAAAATCCAAAACACGGACATCACCACCACATGCAAGCATGGGTGTGGTGCAACAGGACCTCTCATTCTTCGCTGGTGGGAATGTAAAATGGTGCAGCCACTTTGGAAGACAGGGTGATGGTTTCTTCAAAAACTAAGCATACTCTTACCATGTGATCCAGCGGCCGTGCTCCTTGATATTTGCCCAAATAAGTTGAAAACTTAAGTCCACACGAATTCCTGCACACGAATATTTACAGCAGCTTTATTCACATCTGCCAAAACTTGGAAGCAACCAAGATGCTGCTCAAGCATGTGATGGGTGAATAAACTGCAGCCCATCCACACAAGGGGATACTATTCAGTCCTTAAAGGAAATGCTCTATCAAGCCATGAAAAGACAGAGGAAAGGAAACTTAAACTCACATTACTAGTGAAAGAAGTCAGTTTGAAAAGGTACATACTTTATGATTCCGACTGTATTACATTCTGGTGAAGGCACAGCTGTGGAGAAGAGTGAAAGGTCAGTGGTTACCAGAGATCAGAGCGGAGGAGGGGTGAATCGGCAGAGCAAGGAGGATGGTTAAGGCAGTGCAACTACCCTGCGTGATACCCTAATAGTGGGTCCGTGTCATTGCACATTTGTCCTAAACCATAGGATATATACTACCAAGTATAAACTCTAATGTAACCTAAGGGTTTGGGTGATTATTATGTGTCAGTACAGTTTATCCATAGTAACAAACACACCACTCCAATGCCGGATGTTGGTAAAAGCAGAGTTTATGTATGAGGGGTGGCTGGGGAATATATGGAAAACCTCCGTGCTTCCCTCTCTATTTTGCTGTGAATCTGGAATTTCTCTTTTAAAAAGTGGCCTCGTTTGAAATACATACACTGTTTGGGGAGGGAAAAATGTTGATGAGTGTAGTGTTGGACACAGTGTGTTTGGGACAAACAAAACCCTTTAATTCTTTGAGCACAGCTTAACAATAGCTGTTTGCTGCGCCAGCATCTGACTTCCAGGGATCCAGGGGAGACATCTGTGCACATCTGCGCCTAGAGGAGGGCACTCCGCAGCACTGTAACATCAAAGAGCAGGAACAGGGCTGCCGTAAAGCGATGTAGAAAGACAGTTGTAGTTGTTATTCGGGCTTGCAAATTGTCCCCAGTATCCCAAGAGGAAAAAAAGGAAGTCAGAACAGTGCGTGTGCTATGTTAACTTACCTTCTTCTAATGTGTAGGGCGTAGCACCTTCTTGAGGACAAACAGGAAGGAATTAATAAGGAATAAATATCAGACTCTTAATGTTTATTTCTGAGTGATGGAATTATGCAGGGACTTTACTCTTTCATCTGTGTTTTGATAACATTTTGAGCTTATAACCAGATCAGAAAAAGAATAACTTTCTAAAAGAATGTAAGCAATCAGAAAAAGAGGTGATTTAAAGCAGCATTGTAGAGAGAAGCAGCTTTCCCATGACGCCGAAACTAACGGTGCTACAGAGACCAGGACTCTGGCTTCTGAGGTCCCTGCTCTAACATTTTGTGGCTTAATGGACTGTTACATGAATCCTTCTGCAGAAACTATTTTAACCACATAGTACATGGAAAATGCTGGTGTTGGAGTCTCCACCCCTTTGTTATTGCAACCATAACTGTGTCCTGAGACTTGGCTCTGACAGCAGCTTTGCAGTGTGGTGTGGGTCCGGCGCAGGATGTGAGCAGGTCCCTGTGCGCCCAGGCACAGGGACAGCCAGCACGGGTTCAGCCTCCAGAACACATGTCAGAGTGACGACTCCTTTTCAGTATTTTTACTCCTGTGCTGTAGAGTACCAATGAGTTCGTTTGTCTTGGAAGGGTGTGGTTGTTTTCCATATGACAACTTGGTAGCTAGCATCTCGATAAAGCTGAATTTTGGAAATTTTACAGAGGTCCCTTTCAGAAATGGGTCTTACGTCCTGGGGTCTCTTGTCTGCCTTTTTGTGCCACAGATGTCTCCAACTAATTCACACCAAAGTGTGACAGGCTTCATTTGCTGTTCCTGACATACCGTCTCTAAGGAATATTCACATGTGAGTGGAGTGCTAGTGTGTGAATGTGCCGTGATACAGACTGTCCCCCCACTTCCTGAGTTGTGGTGCGTGTCTCTACAATGTTTCTGTGATATGTACCACTACCATAAATCGACAGGATGCCCAGTTCACTGCCACTTTATTGTTTAAATTATTTTTATATTCTGGAATCAGTAATACAAATGCATACCAATGGCATAAATTTTAAAAGTACACAGTTAAAAATCAGTTTTCTGTATTAAATACTGGCAGTTTGGGTTCTAGCAACCTTACCACCAAAGACTGAAAAGCCTGATAATTATAAAAATTTTAAATCACCAGTGTGGTTTAAAAAAAAAATTTGGAGGGCGCCTGGATGGCTCAGTCATTCACTAAGCGTCTGCCTTTGGCTCAGATCATGATCCCAGAGTCCTGGGATCAAGCCCCACATCAGGCTTCCTGCTCTGGTGGGAGTCTGCTTCTCCCCCTCCCTCTCCTGCTGCTTGTGTTCCCTCTCTTGCTGTCTCTTTCTGTCAAATAAATAAAATCTTAAAAAAAAAAAAAATTGGAACCCCTGGGTAGCTTCCTGCCCTGGGGGAGTCTGCCAGAAATGTCAAGGAGCAAAACTGTCCACCAAATAGAAACAGTTACATAGCAGACAACGTCCACAGTGCCACAGCTGTGCGGGGGGGGGGGGGGGGGGGGGTTACATTTTTAAAAAAGATTTTATATGTTTGTCAGAGAGAGATTGAGAGAGAGTACAAGCACGGGGAGCAGCAGGCGGAGGGAGAAGCAGGCTATCCACTAAACAGGGAGCCTGATGGAGGACTTGATCCCAGGACTGTGGGATCATGACCTGAGCTGAAGGCAGACACTTTATGGACTGAGCCACCTAGGCATCCCAGGGGTCGGTGGGTGGGTTGGTTGGTTGGTTATTTGTTTATTTAAGATTTTACTTAATCAGTTGAGAAAGAGAGTGAGAGAGAGCATGAGAGGGGAGAGGGTCAGAGGGAGAAGTAGACTCCCCGCTCAGCAGGGAGTCCAATGCAGGACCCTGTCCTGGGACTCCAGGATCACGACCCAAGCCAAAGGCATTCGCTCAACCAACTGAGCCACCCAAGCGCCCCTTTGGGGTTTTTTTTAAACAGACCTAATAAAATCAGCAGCAAGGCTGATGAAGGAACAAAGAGGGAGAATATAGGTCACCAGTGTGAGGACTTAAAAACAGCATCCCTGTAGATTCTGAGAGCAGGTAAAAGAACATTAAGAGTATGT